AACTTTTTCATTATTCTCCATACCTACTCACTACAAACTAYAGTCTACACACTCTTCCACTGTATAGTTGTAATTATAACATTACACATAATTACAATGAAAATAACTCGTAGACAATTTTTTTGAAATATTCCTTCATTTTCAATTCAGAGGTAAAAGTAGAATTAAAAAACTTTCTGCAATAAATTGAATAATTAATTTTAATTCGTCTCTTTTTTTTCAAAAAACTTTTTTATCTGATAAAATAGCAGGGAGGATTCCGTGTTTACAACGTTTACTTTTTTTTTTCAATGTAATCATTCCGTTTAGTCAGGTTGAAATAAACGGACATTTTTATACATCACGGTAAATGATAATAATTAATGTTAATCGTTAAACAGTTTATAATAAATTATTGTCTTGCATCTGTTATTCGTGATTCTAATCATTTCATACGAAAATCATTTACGTAAATCCAATATGGTAGCGTAGTGAGTAAAAATTATAATTATTACCTATCTACCTATTAATAATTTATTAATAAGCAATGAATGGATGTWTTGTTTCACTTCGTTTAGCAAAATACCCATGTGCAATTTTAATGTATACTTTCAAGCGTGAATATTTTTAAATTCTGATTTAGTTTGTTATATTTATAATAATATTCCAATAGCAAGCGGTAGATTAAATACATTTCCAATCATTTATTTCAAAAAAAAAAAAGAATAAATGTAGTATAAGGTATAAAAGATGCCAATTTACAGTGTATTTTTGAATAATACATATTTTTTATAAAACCCTAGGTATTAACAAAAATACAAATTGTCATTTTCAACTAATGATGAATATATGTGTAATAATATATAGAAGGTACTTGTGCTTATTAGTTATATACACATTTTAATTCAGTTGATAATTTTTTTTGGAATTTTTCCAAGCTCTGTTATACAAATTATAAATATAAAACATTTATAAGTAATACAAGTTAAATGTGTATAAGTTTACGCCATACAATGATCGTCATAATTCATTACTCATTACTCTTTAGAATACAATATAACCTACATGGAGTGGAATTATAATTATTACAATTTTATAAACCAAACTGCGCTGCCTATATTAAAGGTACCTAACATTGATACATGTACATATTCGAATCTTATGTACTATAATATTATTATCACACATTAATATTAATTTAATMATTTTTAGAACTATTAATTTTCTTCTTTTACAGTCTATTTGAATATTTATGTAAATTTAAAACGTAATACGATGATAACGACAATAACCTTCTATAAGAATAAAATAGTTTTCAAAAAATTCTTAAAAAAAATCGAACAAGTAAATAATTAACGTTTTGTATATTATAATATAATATGGATTATGATGTAGGTACAACAGTCATCTTATACTGTTAACTGTGATATTTTCGGTACATCATTCTATCAAAACTGGTAGTGCTAATGTTTTTTTGAAAGCGGGGTTGAATTACTAAGTATTTTCTTTATGTTTTAAAAAAATTAAACTTTAATTGAAAAATTAATACTAACAATAATAATGGCCTTTTTTAATGAACATTACAGTGCATAAGTGATTTTAAGAGCAGTCTGTAAAATTAATAAAGCTTTAAAACCATGCCTACAAAAAACAATGTATATATTAAGTTTTCAAAAAAATATAAATATATCAGATACTATAATAGTTGGGATCGAGGAGCGAAACATATAATTTGTGTAATGCTTGTTTCCCCTCTTTATCATCACCATCAAAACACACGGTCTGCTTTAAGGATTTTCAATATTCATTGCCACCATTAAATCGTTTGTAACTTATGACTGCATCTGGGAAAAGAGGTCTATTTATTATATCGTACTATATTAGTACTCTTAAATAAAGTATGTAATATATATTATATACAATACATATAAACATAGGTATATCCGATGCATTAAGGATCTATGACTGTATACGATCATTTTATACTTGAATTGTTCTTTTATTTTTTTCCGCTTCAAAAACCCCATCCATGTTGTATCTTTCGTGTACAAAGTATTTTTTTCTTTTCTTTCCGCCCCCGCCGTTTTCCTGCAGTATACGTTTTGATAAAACTGTACAGCCTCGAGAGTTCACTGAACGAATTATTAATTGTCATTGCAAMCGATTAGTCGTTTACATTTCCTACTCACAAAAATTCATTTCGAGTATAATAATATATAGCCAATACCATATATATATATATATAGGTTAGGTCGTGGCAAAGTATTTTACTATTTTTATCGGTTTCGGATTTTATCGATATTCTTTAACACGCGTATAACACATCACAGTCAATGTTGCCGGGTATCGCAATGATTCTGTTATATAATAATATCATTGCTAATAAATAAAGTATAGACATTTTCTGTAATATAGTCTAACGCGACTTTACGAATTTCTAATTGAATCGAAAATAAAATTAATACTTTAATGTTAAAATATTTATTTTCGAAAACTATTCATTGCTAGAGTGTGGGCAATGAGAGAGTAAAAAAGCAAAACAAAATATTTTATAAGACTTAATTTTTTAGTAAACACTATTGTTATTTTAATGACACAAAGTTGAAGAAAAAACTCTACTAAAGTATGTCAATATTTCAAATGTAATTAATAACGGTTTTATAGCAACCCAGTTGTCTTGAGCATAATCGATTCGTTTCGTAAGAAATATAATTATGTTTACTYACTTAAACTAGATATATAAAAAGTATAGGTAAACCAAAAATCAATAAAACAATTTAACAGAGTCAACGATTGAAATACATTTATTTTTAATGACAGTTATTTATTGGTAGTAGTAGAAGTAGTATTTGTTTTTGTTAGAACTAAAAATATTTTCTCATTGGCTTGATTTTTTTCGTCACACCAACCTAACTTACCTAACCWACTATTATAGTCACATTGTAAATAGTTTTTCAAACATCTTACTTATCAGAAATATTTAAGTAAATTAGTTACCAACAAGTTAACGAGTAAGTTACTAAAGTTATGATGTACAACGAGTAAGACCTCGTGTATTTGTGAAGCCACTCAATTATTATTGGAGTATACAAAACTCATATTTAAATTTAAAATATAATAAATCGATGATTCCCACGCATTTAGAGAAAAATCTGAAAATAACTCAAAACTCAACTATAGGATTCAAAAAAAAAAAAAAAACTGTACACACTTTGTTTTGAATACATTTTAAAATCAAACACTTAGATAGGCTCCTATTCAGTATTCACAAATGTATTTTTGAAATAGAAACCATTATAATGGTTAAGAGAGAAATAGGCAACTCAAAGTTACTAGAGTCTAGAAGGTGAATTTGTAGAATTTTTAAATCTAGCAGGCTGGAGCATAAATGACATTTTCAATGTAAAAATAAAGAAATAATAAAACCTCGTCAAAGTGGATATTTTTCAACGGCCAATTTTTTTCAAAAGTATACGTCAATATTTTTTSTGGATAAAAATAGATTTTGCAACTCATATGATTCTTTTAAATTGGAATGTCTTGTTTTTCGATTTTAACTATAATTTGATAAGGATTGTTATCTACGAAGAGCATAATTAATAAATATAGATAAACGTTAAAATCGTATGAAGTAATTTGAAGATGTATCAATGGCCAGATAAAATGGTACGAACGCCGCTAGTGGCCCATCCCTGGTATAGGGTATATTAAAGCTTCTTATTTGAATTATATACAAAGGATCTTCCACAATTTCTTTTTTTTAAATGGACATAAACCAAGTATCATAAATAAAATTACGGTTTAAATAAAAAATTTTATTATGTATCTGTTTAATGGATTATACACTTAAGTACTATAAATAAAAGCGTTAAATCACAAGATGATACATGTCAAAATCTTTAAATTGATTTTGTAATACTTATAATGGGAAGTTGCGTACATTAYTATTATTTCCTATTTCCTTTCAATAATTGCCCGATCTATGCAATAATTATTTTATTATTAAGGYAACCATATAAGCATATAGCACTTTTAACTTCCTGTTTTTGTTTGATAACAGGCTTTATATTGACAACAGCAAGTATTCAATGCAATATATTTCTTACAATAATTGTGTACCTGCAACAATTAGGAAGTTAGTTTATGGCGAGATGTGGYGCGGTGGTACACTCTGCTGCGGAAACGTTCTGTWTGTACGTACCGTGTTATTACCACTCAGATGGGTGACCACAAAGGTTTTTAGTAACAAATCCTTACCATACATACAACACGTGTTCCAAACCAACCATTCTCCCCTTACAAACAGCTAATGACTATATTTTCCGGGCTTATGATCAATATATATATATAAAAAATAGCAAATTACTCCTATAATATAGGTACCAATTAATTTAAATTCTCAACAATCATCCCCCAATCTATAACCAACATAAACCAATTCATTCTTTCATTTTCAATTTCAACCTTCAAACTAAAATTTAAATTAAATATCTAAAGCAATCTYACTGTATGTTTTGCAATAATTTTATTTTCTATGTAAGCCTAATGGGCCATTTTGCTGAGGGTCTAAATAAAAAAAAATAAAAAAAATAGGTACTCATTTTATTTAAAAAATGTTGATTTATTATAAGAAAAAAAATGTTTAAATCATTAACGCCCAATTTTTTTTTAAACTTTCAATACATTATTCTTGAGAACCTCTAAAAATATACTAATATTAATACACCCTATTAATTCACAGTTTTTGAGATATTAGCATATGGCAACGCTGGGAACTTATACTACCTATTTTGTAACTTTTTTTATTATTAATTTTTTCTATCTTTAAAATATATCAAACACAGTGAAATATAAGCATTATCTGTATATTTTATAATTTTTTTTACTGGATAGGAAATAAATATTGAGTAAATATAAAAAAAAATGTTTTTGTAGATTTATATAAGACAAATAATAAATCTTAAAATATTTAAAAAATATAAATCATTAGGAATGAAAAGAGGTATAATACAATTAATAACCCAACAGAACACTTTGTTCGTACAGTTAAGTTGCAATTTTTTCAAGTACATCTTCTTCTTTTTTTCTTCTGTATATTGTACCAAGTGATCAGTTCTGTCAAACCGTAATGTATCTGATATACGAGAGTCTGACGAACAAATTGATTTTGATATGCGTCCTGGTCCTGTGGGAGTATTTGTGTATTTTTCTAAATAAACGTTTACTACTTCTCTTCTAAATTCAAGTTGAGATATTTTTAGACTTCCTGTTTTATTTGTATAGAATACAACTGTTTTGCATTGCTACATCAAATATCCGTGTCACTAGAGGTAAATACCATTTTTTCCCGAGAATTCCTATGCGGTAAAATCCAAGATTTTGATCCATGCATTGATCGGTACCTCCCATTGCAGTCCCATCTATGTGTTATACTTTGCAATTAATTTTGGTCTTAGAAACAAAATATTTCTTTTTCTTTTTTTGTTTCACACTAATAATAACATCAGAATTTAAAATGTTTGTTAATATTCTAAGCCACAGAATAATATTGAATAATTTTAAATAATATAATATAATTAATTGCAATTATTATGATATTATAGTGATAATTTTTTATGGATTTCTATAATAGCAGTTGTATATTTATTATTATAATGTATAATCATATCAAAAGGGTAGATTACTATAGGCTATAGCCTAATATAATATTATTTAGGCATTTACCTCGGTATCCCATCAACTGATCGAAAACAACAGATCGTATGAGAATTGCTTGAAGACTTTTGATCAAAAAAAAAAATTGTTCGTAAAACTAAAAATTATATTATTAATTTAAATAAATTTAAAAAGTATGTTCAATAAAATTGCTTAATGAATAACTAATATAAATGAAAAAAAAAATGCATTGTTATTTAAATTGCATTTAAAAAATATACTACGGTGATCTCATAATTATGATTATTTTGGTAACTGTTGAACGAATGATGTAAAACATTTAAAAATATATATAATAAAATGCCTAAATATCTGGTCATTAATTTGTCAACATAATTTTTAATAAAATATTTTACGGTAATCTAATATCTTAGTAATRCTATAAATGTTAACTAAATGTCTGTGTATTATATAAGTAGATACTTATATACTATATAATATATTACCTATATACATTATACAATGATTGTATGTTTGTAAATTTGTAATAAAAGGCGTGCAATTTATGTAGGTTGTACCTATATTATATATTATTTTACAAACTCATGTACCTATATGCAGTATATAATATCAACTTTGTTAACATAGGATCACTATTAGATTACATTTTGGTAAATCTGTGACGTGGAACCCTCCAAATATAATGTATATATTAAAATACAAACAGCTAYGGAGCCTATACAGTATATTTTTATGGGGTCCTAAAAATTATAATGGCTTTATCCCATATTTAATATTGAAAAAAAACSAAACAATTATTGTAATTTGTAACAGTATTTCTTCTTATAATATATTGCTTATAATACAGTGGTACGTATTTTATGATGGATGAATGAATCTATTTGATTTTGGGCCTTGTTTTTTATATGCACAATTAGTTATAATTGTATAGGTAAGACATTTTTATCGAATTGCTATTGAACAGTATAAAAACGATTGTGAAAGGTGACAAAAAATTKAAATAGTTGACTTATGTTGGGTGTCAATATTCCTCCTCGCATTATWATCATGAGTACAAAATTATGAAATCCTATCCACCCTCCCACCATTCCTTGAATGAGTGATCCTTAAATACTCCACTAGTAACAGCTATGAGATATGAATATGTGTATTATATTGTATGCTCGAATGATTTTTTTTGCTTATAAAATTATAAAATAACTTTATAAAAAATATATTTTCTTGAAATAAGTATTGAACTATAAGTCTGAGTCTGTGGGCTTTTTAATATCTATATTTTAAGGGGGCATAGTAGAAGAACGCTTAAAATCAACATTTTCAGTTTAATTGTCCGAAATGCTTGTTCAAAGTTGTATGTCTCAAAATAAAACATTCATTCCAGCCCCGTGGGATCTGGAGTCCGAGTCTGTGGTAACCAAATAATAATATATGTAATCCAAACATAGTATAGTATGTATATTGTCTATAATACAGTATTCCTCGGCGCTAGGTGGGTTGGCATCCAATTATGGAGCGTGGGTATACGCTGTCTGATCCCCAGAATTATTTCACGTTCTTCACGCACCTATACATAAGTAAGTAATGTGTATATATGATTACTTTATCCGTCGCATATTATACAGTTATTCGCGGCACGCTAAACTCAAGATATTGTTTTCGATGTCAGTTATGGTCCAAGTATTTGTTCGAACATATTATTAAACTAAATAACATAATATAATTTTTCATCTCAGCGCAAAAAACCAGCAATTTTCGTTATTAAATTTCACGTCTAGAATGTCTAGATATTATCATCGGACATGAGACGCGACGCCTGTATATTAACGCTTTACTATAATAATAAAGAATATGCTTAAACAAATTTAGCGAATGTTCGGAGGCTCTAAATCTCCCTCCTCTATAATCGTTTATGATCACAAATAAAATGATATAGGTCTTGCCTGTAAAAACGACGGGGGCTGGAGGACAGGCAATGTGAGCAACAGTTCCTTCTCCAGCTCTCGGTTAAACCAGAAAAAAAAAAAGTCTTGCCTATAAATAAGCAATCTGAATGTAGCATTCTCATATTTTTTATATTATTCAATTAGGTAACAAATACACATGCTCTTTTAGACAAAATTACAAAACCTCCACATTCGGCTCCAAGATTTGTCCAATCAGAGTAAAAGTGTCAGACCGTTTATGTCAGTCTCTGTTTTATTAAACAAAATTGTAAAATACAGTCATTAAAAGTCAGAAAAAACTGATTATGTCAACATTTCTCATGTACTTACAGCCAGTTTTCTCTGATGTTAAATGTACACAAATTATGTATGACTTTCTTTTACGATTCTATAAATTAAATTTAAAAGAAATTAATAAWTAATTAATATCATAACGATTAATAATGAGTGTAAACACTTTAAACACATATTCATATTATATTTTATGTATTAAATAAAATAATTTATGCTATAAATGTGAAATGGGATACGTAGTATAAAATTGCTCTAGCGAATTGAATTGTCCAAAGAAATTGATTGTTACCTATTTAATGCGTTAGTGATTATTCAGAAACCATAATGTGCAAACGATAGTTTAATTGTAAAWTGTGATTAATCTCTAGTTATAGTTTTATTGAAATTAATGTCTGGTYATATTAAGCTTGGATGAGTTTATATTAAAATGGTATGATATAACGATTTATGACGATTAAATGCATATTCAATAGGTACATTATGTAAAAATAAATTAGGCTACATTATGTTGGGTTAAATGTTATTATAAATGTATTATTGCCTTAGAACTAAAAGTAAAAAATGTTTACCAACATGATTGTGAATAATGCGTGCAGATAAGTGTAGATAAACATTTGCCTGCGTATGGATGTACACCATTCACATTCTTGAATTTTGATTGTCTTATTACAATAATGTGCACTTCCGCGTGAAACGTAATACTATAAATACGATCAATTATCATAAAATAGCCTTTTACAGTTGTTTATTACGATTTACGTGATTCGAATATGTTAATATTACATTATTACAGTACACCTACTTTTGTACGCCTCTGGACATTTTTTTTTTCAATTCAAGTGKCTTGTTGTTTAAAACCAAGACTGATGGAATACACGTCATAAATAAGTCACTAGGACAGATGAAAAAAAAATTGCTTTCGCTTTGATCACCCCGTTTAACAGGTTCTTTATTACAGTTGAAATTAAAATRTATAGGTATAGTAGGTATAATCTATATATTACATATTCCAACAATTCATCCTATCAGCATAGATCGTATTACGATAATTTTAGAGCGCAACTATAAATTAAATTTTTTATTTTTGTAAATGTTTTACTGTCTTCTGTTGTTCTATTATTTATTGAATATAAGCAACATATTATTAAGATCGTAGGCACGCGAATGCAGTATCGGGCCAAAAATAAAGTCTATGAGATTAACACGTGATTACATTTCATAAATATTGCATTAATTATGATTTAAAATTGATAAATTTCAATAGGTTAACTGCAGTCATTGAATTGTTCAATACTAAAAACATAAAGAATTCAATATGATATGTTGTTTATGTTATAAATATAAATTGACAATTAAACATAAGTTGGTGAAATAAATCATTATCCACAAGCAAAAATACAATTATTTTATCCYTGATTAATTTTTTTTAAGGCAATTTAACTTTATTTGAAATGGTTATAGACTTCTAAAACATATTATTAAATATCATCATATTTTGTCTGCCAACATATTTCTAGTGAAAAAATTAATGTGCATTTAATGATATTGATACATTTTGAATTAGAAATAAATATAATCCATATAAATTTTAAACCTATATTTTTGTTTTTTATTCAACACTGAGTGTCTATTATTTTATATTTATAATCATGTCTATTGGTAATTCTAGAAGTATATTTTTGTAATAAAATACTTTTTATAATAAACGAGTTACATATTATAATAATAATTAATAAGTAGTATGTTCACACTTATTATGTGCATTATTTTCAATAACAATTGAATGAAATCTCAAATTGAAATAATTTAGATGTGATATTAACAACAAACTCATGATAAGAAAATTGAAAATTGTACCAAAACTAAACATTGTAAATTTGTAATAGCTAAGTATCTTATGAAAGAGATTCCTCGTTATAAAATTGAAAACTACAACATTAAAATGTTATGTATTTCGTTATTTTATTATTATTATACTAAATGTAAGATTGTATGAAACGTTATTAAGACAACGGAAATTAAATATTTTTAATAAAGGCTTATGAAACTGCATACAACAAATTTTATAAATTCGCTGTGAAAATTTTGTAAATAATAGATAAATAATCTAAATGAAGACAATACAAAGAATATATTTAAATAAATACATAATTTTAAAAGAAAAGAAAATTTTACGAACACATAAGAAGCACGAATGATATAAGCAAGTAAGCAACTCGATCATAACAAAGGAAGGWGTGTTACCCATATATCATATCATATTTGTGTTTTACTTCCATAAAACATATTTATAAAAACTATCTTTTTATTTCATAATTTATTAATGTATAATAATTATTCGGCATTTATAAGTGCCTACTATAATGAACTAAATCATTCATTTAAAACTTTAAAAGTAAATTTTACCAAGATTTGCGAAAAATATCAAAATTTTGTGATATTTTAATATTACACGTAATTTATGGTTAATAATACCTATTGTATATTTAAAGCAAA